AATGAATGTTTTTGAATTCTCTGGGCAGATATCTAGGAATGGAATTGCTGCCTCATATGGTAGATCTATTAACATATTTAGAAAAACTCTATGCTATTTTCCACAGGAGTCCATATTCCTACCAACTATGAAGGAGGGATTCTTTTTCTCTATACCCTCATCAAACGTTCCTCTTTCTGGAATTTTAAATGTGGGCTATTCTCATGGTGTGAGGTTCTCTTATGGTTTTGATTTGCATGTCCTTGGTGATTAGTGACAACGGACATATTTTCATGTGTCCGTTGGCCAGCTGTATGTTTTCTTTGGAGGAATGACTAGCTCTTCTGCCCTTCTTGTTGCTGAGCTGTTTACACATCTTGGATGTTTGATCTGATGTGTGATGTGCAGATATTTTCTCCTTTTTAGTGTGGTGCCTTTTCATGTTACTGATTACTTCTTTCCCTGTGCAGAAATCCACATATAGTATTCATCTACATTGTTCAGTTGAATCAGTTTTAGCCACCACATTATTTGTTCTATCAACAGCATTTTTGTGATTTGATTTTTAAAAATCATATTATTTTGAGGTAACAATAGTTTACAACAGTATATATGGTTTGTGGGTACAGAATTACATATTTTCTGATGTATACTGCAGCACCACAGCCACCAAAGCACCCACAAGCTTCCACCACACTCCATTTGTGGCTTACAGGCTGCCTCCCAGCATTCAGACTTTCCTTCTATTTTTCCTCCTATTTACTTTGTTGTTTCTTTTTGAACTTCTTAGCTGGTTCTCTCTTTGGCCCAAAATACTTTTCTTTTTAGTAGAGCTGGGGTGTAGGCCAGAGGTGCAGGGGCTGACAGGATTCACCAGAGACAGAGTGGGAAGCAGAACAGGTGGACCTACTGAAATACACTGCTGAGGGGAGCGGCAGGTGAGGCAGGAGAGGTCTGCTGTGCCACATGGGTCACCTCCTTGGCTGGGGATTGAACTCAGGCCATAGTGGTGATAGTGTTGAGATTTAAACCCTAGGCCACCAGAGAGGCCCTGGCCCCAGATTTTGTGGTCTTTGGGGCTTAGTCTTTGGTCCTCTGCTCTAACTCATTTACTCTATGGTGAGCACATCTAGCCAAGTGCTTTAAATAGCACCCGAACACCAAGTCTTATCTGTATCCACACTCATAGACCCACCGCTTACTTGACCTCTGCATTTGTATATCCACTTGTCTCAGTATGTTCCAAAGCACATCTAGTTCTCTTCTTTATTCACTCTACCCTCAATTCCAAGGAGGCTCTGCTCTACTTGAAACTTTCCTGCCTTGGTTAATGGCAAACTTCAACTTTTTAGTTGCTTATTCCAAAATTCTTAAGAGTCCTCCTCAAAGTTTTCAGAGTCTCTTACATTACACATCCAATCTGTTAAAAACCACTCATTTATATGTTCCTCAATGTCATCCTCAAAGTTTTCAGAGTCTCTTGCATTACACATCCAATCTGTTAAAAACCACTCATTTATATGTTCCTCAATGTCATCCTCAAAGTTTTCAGAGTCTCTTGCATTACACATCCAATCTGTTAAAAACCACTCATTTATGTGTTCCTCAATGCATTGCCTGACATATCCCAACTAGCTAGAAAACTGACATAAAACAGGCATTCAATACTGTCTGAATAAACTAAAGAACATTCAGTAATTTTAATGAAGAAAGTGGGTATATTTGCCTCTAGTTTTAGAAATAATAATTGTGTGTGAGTAATATCATAGGAGGATTTCGGGGTACAGGGGTGGCAGCTGAGGCTAGTATAGAGAAGGAGTGTACAGAGGAGCACAAAAATATGATTTACTTCTGGCTTATTCTCAGTTCTGCCTAACACCTCCATAAATCAAAATAAAATTATCAAAGTATGCTCAAAACAATTATAAAACAAACTGCTTTTCCTCTAACAGTGCAAAGATGGAAATAAAGGGAATGAGAGAAAGCCAAATTTTGTAATTACATAAAGTGATATCTTTCCCTTGGGAAAGCATGACTCTAGATTGTTTTAGTTGTTAATATACATGACAACATATTTCCATAATTACCTTGTTCTATAGAACTATATTAAATTAAAAGCAAATGACAAGAGGGTTATAAAATTTGAAGACCAAAAGAGTACTTTAGAGATCATTCAGTTCATAACTCATTTTACAAATGAAAAACAAGCCAAGATTAGTTGACATGCACAAGGAACATGGCTAATGGTGAGTCATGGCTTTGAACCCTTTATTTTACAACTCTCAATCAACACTGCGCCATGATGATTTAAATGTAAGAATCTAAAATACACCAATAAGCTAGTAGTTTAAATAGAATCTACCTTACACAGGCATTCAAGTACTCTTTTCATGTCCAGATCTATTTGACAATATAAATTAAAATGTAGTAAATGATTCTTCAACTATTGTGAACTTACAGTCCCATAATACTAGAACTTTAGACTCAGAAAAATTATAAGAGGCAAGCTGAACTTCAAATGAATACTTCTGTATTAACATCTCCTTGGATATTTCCAGAATGTCACCTTTTACATTAATAGTCCAACCATTTAAACATAATCAGTATTATTTCAAACATTTTAATAATATTCAAATTGAATTAACCTGTTTTTCTAGGGGCATGGTGGTGGGAGTAAAAATTATTCCCAGCTAGTAATTCTAGACCTCTTTTAACCAAAGAAGATAATTATATTTCTGTCTCAGTATACCATTCACATTTAAAAAAAATATATTTATTTATTTATGCTCACAAGAACTGGGATACTGGTCAGAAGTGTAAGGGGTGAGCGGATTCACTAGAGACAGCGTAGGGAGCAGAACAGGCCGGCTGACTGAAATTCAATGCTGAGGGGAGCAGCAGGCAAGACAGGAGAGTACTACTGTGCCATGTGGGTCACCTCCTTGGCAGGGGATCGAACTCATGCTGGAGTGGCTGTAGATAGCTTCATTGTACTGCATTTTAACCTCTTTCACCACAGGGAGGCCTACCTTTTAGATTTTTAAAGAAAAATTCATTTGATCGCTGATCTTTAAGTTCTACATTGTTTTACACGATCATCCCCATAGCTATTCTTATTGCAGCTCAAGCTTTTGAATCCACAAAGATTAGTTATGCATTATTACTAGTAGCTGGCTTATCTCTCTC